CCCCAGCCCCAGGCAATGATGCCCGCCCAGCAGCGCCAGCGCCAGCACAGCCAGAACCCAGCGGAGGCGAGACCACGGCGGGACGGCCGGGGACGGGGACGGGGCCGGGACCGGGGCCGGGGCAGCCCCGCCTGGGCCCGTGGGCGGGTCCGGGGGCGGGCCGGGGGCATGGCCCGGGCGGGTACGGGGAGAGGGAACCTGGAAGAGGGGGGGACGCAGGAAAAGGGAGACCCGGAGGGAATGTGGGTCCGTGGGAAAGGGAGAGGAGAGACAGAAAAGTGATAAATTGGCTGCTTTCGCTGCTTCCACTGCTGCTGCTGCCGCCGCTGCTGCTGCTGCCGCTGCTGCCGCCGCTGCAACTGAAGCACCGGGACCGTTTGTCCCCGTGTCCGTTTGTCCGTTGCCCGCTCGGCCCCGGCCCGAGCCCCGCACTCCCCGGGCAGCCCCTGAGCCTGGCCAAACACGGGAACTTTGCCGTGTTGAGCCAAGAGCCAGAGTCTTGACTCCTGCACAGGGGCACAGGAATGCCCTTGGCTGCTGCTGTGCCTTGTCCCTGCTGAGGGTCAGACACCGTCTGAGCACATTCCCTGAATGCAGAATTTGTACCCGACCCAAGCACTGCACTTGTGTCTCCAGCATTGCTTTCCAAGGAAAACAGGGCAAGGCAAACTGGGTATAGCTCATGGTATTTTACAGTGTCTAAAACTTGCCAAGTCTCAGATCTTAGAGGTGAGATCCATTTGGAATGAATGGGATGGAGAAAGTGCAAGATGGAAAAGGGGAACATAAAAATAAATAGAGAAAAATAGAGAAAAACATATTGGTTGTTTCTTTTGATTTGATTTTCATTTCATAAAAAAGTTGTTTCAATTTTCCCAGAATCTTCTCCACAGTCCCGTCTGTTCTTTCCAAAAACCTGTCCTGGAGAACAAGGCGCAGCTCCTGTCACAAGATGTGCCCCCAGCTGCAGCTTCTCTTGGCTTCCCACACTGTAAGTGACTGCAGCACAACTCTTGCAGCAAAGCAGAACAAATATTTGAAGCACTTGAAACTTGTTCTTTCTTTTCCTTGTGCACTGGGGAGTTGTGCCATTGGTAAGGTTTCCACTGTTACTCTTCTACCCAAAGAAAACATGATGAGGTACCGGGAATTGTTAGGGAATACAAGCCTGGCTGAATGTGGAGAAAGAATCTCCAGGGTGTGCAGCCAGAAGTGGAGAGCTGATCATTCCAAATCCCCCATGGACATCTTGAAAGTGATCTGGAACATGAAGATGGGCTGACAGAGAGACTTTGTTTCTGTGTTCAGTTTAGATGATTCTACATCTCTTGCACTGGGAGAAATCAAGAGCACAATCAGTTGATGATAAGCATCAGAACATGATAAGCTGGACCTCTCTGGATGACAGAAAGAATGTGAAAAGGAGAAATGCAGGGAATGACTTGGTGAACTTTGTATATAAGAAGGTACATTTTTTCCTAATAATTTCCAATTCATTCCCTTTGTTTTATCCTTTTAAAAAGGCCAATTGCATCTCAGATTCCCCATGAAATGAGAACCCTGAGCTTGTGGGACTGCCTGAAAGGTGCCCTGTTCCTTTTTCTTCTGCTGCTCAATAGAAACAGTGAAGCGAGTTGGGGAGTTCTGTTTTTTCTTTCTCCTGGTCGATTTTTTCATTTTATTTGCCACTGTAAAGGCAATTTCTGTGATGGCCTCTGTCAGTTGATTCTATTTCAGCAGCAGCAGCAGCAACAGGGCTGTGTTTGAGCACTGCAAATGTGACCTGTGTGGCTTTAATTCTCTTTGATTTTGTGCTCAGGGAGTTGGGAGCATTTGGAGATCTACTACTCATGAGGCCTTTTTAACAAGCAGTCCGAGTTCCCTGTCAGAAAAGCACAGTGGGTAGCACTGATTGAAAGAGGCAATTGCAGCTGTACTGCTAAAATTCAAGTGGCAAGCAGAAGAGGGGCAAGATCAGCTGGGATCTCCAATTGCCAAGGCCAAGGCACCAACAGCCTCCTGCTGTCACCTCAGGGTGAGTAAAACAGTGCTGAAAACAGCGCTGGAACCCGATCCTTTCTTCCTCTGAGGGCTGGCTGAGGGCAGCAGAGGCGGGCCTGAGGAATCAGGGCTGTTTGTGGGGGATTGTTGCTGTAGTCCAGAATTGCCCTGGCAAAAGGCCTGGGAAGCCGAGGCAGGAGCAGGTGGGAAGGGCCGGCGCTGCTGCTGCTCGTGGCCGGGAGCCCCGGCCGGGCCGGGCCGGCGCCCGCTGCGCTGCGGCTGCTGCTGCTGCCAGAGCCGGGCGGGACTCGGGGACAGGGAATGGACACGGGGGGACAGCAAAGGCCTTGGGGGCTGCAGGGATGTTGGCACTGGGGCCAGCGCCTGCACAGAGCTTCAGCCCGCAATGAACCCCGAGGGAAACGCCGGGGAAAGGCTCCATTCAGCCTTTGTTTACTCGTCGCTATGAAGGGACCGAAATAAAAGGAGAAAGAGCAGGGCCTGACCCCTTCTCCTCTGGGAGGAGCCCCGCGCCTGGAGCTGAGAGGGGCCGTGAGGAAAAATGAGGGGCCATGAAGGGCTTTGAGAGGCCATGAGAGGCCATGAGAGGTTTTATGGGGCCCTGAGAAGTTCTATGGGGCCATGAGGGGCTGTGAGGGGCCATGAGGAGCCTCAGCCCTGGCAGGAGGGGGCCACAATGAGGGGCTGTGAGGGGCCATGAGGAGCCTCAGCCCTGGCAGGAGGGGGTCCCACCATGTCCCCAGGGCAGGGCCGCCGTGAGGGGCCGCGAGTGCAGACGTGGCAGCAGAGCGGGCTTGGGGCACCTCTGGGAGGGGATGAGACCCTTCCCCAGCTCCAAACCACACCAAACCCCGCATTAACAGGATTTTCCGTCTTTAGAATCCACTGGCAACTTGGAGTTGAGTGTCCAGTTTAATTCTGGTGGGAAAAACAAGGGAATTTTCCCAGTGTGTGACATCCAGCCTTTGTTATTTATGTCTAAGATTTAAAAGTCTTGACAATGAAAAGTAACACTAAAACATAATAATAACAACAACAAGACCAAGAAATAAAGCCCCGAATACCAACAGTCAGCTCAGAAACATGTTTTTGTTTGTAGTAATAGAGTAGTACTAAAGAAATAGTAATTCAGACAAAAGATGTTTCATCTTTTTCCAAGGTTCTGGTCCCCTTCCTCCAGGGTCATTTCCTTTACTCACCCACTTTCTAATAGGTAGAAGGGAGTTAAGGACACAGGAAAAGACAACAGCTCCTGTTTCCAAGATTAGCAGCCACCACTCCAGGGACCCTGAATTGCCCCCAGGCACGTGTGTGCACTTGAAGGGTGAGCGGGTGTTGGGGACAGAGATCTCAAACTCCTTCTAAGGCTGTGAGAAACCCACAAGTGGCAAAGTATCATTGTGGGTCAGCTCCTGCTGAAATTCCATTCCCCCACACCCTCCAAATGGGCAGGCAGGGCTGGGCTCTGGCAGGGTTCAGTTTTGAGTGCCTTGTGCTCCCTGGCATGGAAGTGATCCTATGAACTCTGGTATTGATGGATTGTGGTATGGCTGCTGAAAGAGGAGGGGGAATCTCAGGAGACAGGAACGTCTCTTGTTCTCCCTTCTCCCTGCAGAACCCCCTCTCCAAAGAGAAATGCCTGTGCCGGGTTTCCATGAGACCCCTTCCCTCAGGCCAGTGTTTGACCCGCTGTGTGGTCTGCAGGAGCCAAAGCCAGAGGAGTCCCAATATCAGTCACCCCATGGTCCTAACACAGCAGGAGAAAGCACTGCTTGCAGTGGGGCTGCTGATCTGTGACCTGTCCTGGTTCCATCCACCCCACTCCTCTCAGCAACAGACACCAGAAGGATCCCAGGAAAGCCACAGTGCTGTACCAGATGCCAGGAGCACTCCCTGCTGTGGCCTCAGGGATGCTGGGTGACCTCGTCAATGAGGATCTGTGGCTGGTGATGGAATGTGTGGATGGAGTGTGTGGATGGAGGTTGTTGGAGACACGCATGGGGCTGAAGGAGAGATGGCAGCTGTTAGTCGGGAGGGCAGGGACCCCGCTTGAGAGTCCATTGCCTTGGACACCCTCAGCCACAAGATGTCCAAGAAGTCACACAAGGCCTTGGCACTCTCAGCCTTCTTTCCCCCAAGTTCCAGCTTCATGTACAGTTACAGCAGAGAACGTTGCTTGTTTCTAGAACAAAGATCCCAGATGGAACAAGCCTTGCTGGTTTTAGTCAGAAGCATCAGTGACCAAAAGTTGTATTTCCTTTGGTTTGGTCACATCTTTGTTCATTCTCAGTGTTCAGGCTGGGCTGTGGGGTGTCCTCATTTGCTGCATTTTCTGAGTTCCTCTTGGATCCTTTGAGCAATAGGTTGTGCCCTCTGAGGATCCTTTGTGCTCCTTGGTGACCCAGGAGAACCTTGCAGGCAATTTTTGGGGGAGCTGCTGCTGTGATGTCACAAGAACGTTGCCGTGTCCTTGTGGTGTTCTCGTTGCTGTGGGGCACAGAGGCCTCAGTGTCAGAGCGGCTCTGGGCACCTGCTCATTGCCTGAGGATCGTTCTGCCCGAAGAATTCTCAGCAGCCAGCCCAGCCCCTGATGGGTGTCCTTCTGTCCTTGCAGGGGGACAGACAATCTGCAGTCATGTGCAGCACAGCCAAAATGATCCAGCAAGTGCTTGCTGCAGTTTGCACTCTGGACTCTGTGGCTTCTTATGGGTATTTTTTAACCCACTGGGCCCTGAAGTTGAGGATTTCCCCAGGTGCACCATGTGTGCCTTTGGGATTGCTCTGGGCCTTTTGTTCATCCTTTGGAACGGAGGTGATTTTGAATGAAAATTGCCATTAAGATGCCATTTATTTGGGAAAGCTCCTGCCAACAACTTCTTAAAAAAGGGGTTGTTTGTAGCCAGCAGGGTGTGCACAGCATTTGGAATGGAGCCTTGGGGGGTTCTGTTCCCC